AATAATAATAATAATAATAATAATAGTAATAATAATAATAATAATAATAACAAAAACAACAATAACAATCATCATCATCATCATCATCATCTGTAAAGCAGTTGGAGCCTTTTCTCTTTGGCACCTTACAGGGCATGCTGTGGCTTCTTCGTACAGAAACTACTATTAGTTTATGATAAGGGAATTTTATGGAGCATGAAGAAAAAAGAACCCCCCCCCCCCCAAATAAATACAACGTGTAGCTCTGTTGGTGCAAAGCCGTCTAACACATTGTATTGTAAGTATTTTACTTTCTAGTCTTTCCATTTTTTCATCGTTTGCTCTCTTAGCTCTGTTAGTGTTCAGAAATAAAGTGACAAACGGTGTGAATAAGCTTGCGCCCCTTCCGAGTCAGCAAGTACACATAGACAGATTATTCTTTTACAATTGGTCGCTTTTAAGGACAAGCGAGCCAACCCAGATTTCGGGGGTTTTCAGAAATCTTGACATACACCAAAAAAATGGGCATTGCCCTACCTATAGAGGAGAAGTTTGGTTTCATTGGTGTGAATATTTGTTTGGTTATAGAGAAAACTCTCTTTGTCTTTTAAAGAAACTGAACAAGGGGCAAAAACTTTACCATTGATTTTCTCAAAACCAACATTTTCGGGACAGTCCTCTTGTGCTTAAAAGGGACCAATTGAGTCCTCAACAGAAGGGCAAGGAGGTCATGATTCATCAGACTCCGCACAGAAAGGCACTGGGACACAGTGTGAACACTGACGTGAGCGTTATGTCGGTACGACACCTTTGAAGTATTCTGAAAGGGTGGAGCTAGTAGAGAAATGCGGGCTAGACTACTATCTTCGTTAAGTCAAACTCCCGGGGTAGAAAGTACATTCATTTGCTAGCAGAAGGATCTTTTCAAGTTAAGATGCTGAAGTACAAATGCAATTTGTTAAAGCAAGGCGAAAAGATAAAACTTTTAGTTTCCAGCATCTCGGTGTACCTGGAAAGAAAGAGAGTCAAACCTTAAACTCTGTCCATTAGTACGGAAGAAAGCAGCTTTGCGAAAGTATCAGTGGTGTACTGTGAACTGTTTTTGCCTTTTTCTGACTTCCTCAACTTTCAATCAATTTCACCCTGCATATGTCTGAATATATACAACAATGTACATCATCGAAATCACCATACTGAGCCCAGAAACTGAAGGAGCAAATAATGAAAAACATTCAGGACTTCAAGCAAGAACATACTGAAAGAACTGAACTGGAAAATTGGGCACACTCTGAAAAGACGTAGATCTGTTTTCCTGATCGAAAAGTGAGACTGAAGTACGATTCAGATGCAAGCGAAACGAAGTGTGTAAGTGGACAGGGGGAATACTGTGAGAAAAAGGACAGTTTATGTAAAACACATGAAACTGGATAAAAAGTCCTAAAAAATTAAAGCTCTATATTTTATAAAAAGTCACTCTGTTCTTTGGACATCAAGTTCATAAAAAGGAGATGTGGAAATTACCCTTCAAGCTTTAGGGTCGACATATCATAAACAGACATGACAACAAGCTTAAATAAAGCACACGAAATCTAGATCTGTCAGACAGAAAAATACTATAAGAGCATAGGAGTAGACGAGGAACCAATCAACACAAATATTGCACTAAACACACAAGCCTCTGCCAAGTTGCAAAATGCGTCACGTGTTCATCGTGAACAAAAGAAAAAATAATGAATCTATAAGAAACTGCTTTTTTTCTGAATCCAGAATAAGGTTTCACATTCATAACTTCACTTGAAATCATCTCTTGGCAGCATCAAATAAGCATCCGAAGCAAAGGAAATAGCGGCAATGACAAAAACATATTAGAACAACAGTAAGGAAAAAAAGAAGTACGGTAAAATACAAATTAAAACAATAGTTCCCCACCCGCCCCACAGTATAGTTAAAACTGTCCTCTTTTTAAAAAAAAAAGTGAAAAAGGGCAAGAAAGAAGAAACTCAACAAAGATGGCACCCTCCTTCTTGCCCACATCTCTTTCTTTTTCCCCCTCCTTATTGTCTTGTTTTTAAAACCCCACACTTGTCCTAATTTGTTTAGTTATAGTCGTTTTCTTCACTGCCAAACAAAATTATGCTCCTGCTACCTATTTATGAGGAAATGAGATAGTATAATAATCTTCCCTGTAAAGCAATTATAGACTCGTTTTTACTGACAAGTAACTGGACGTTGTATCCTATCACATTACAAGAGGAAGATAGAAAACTTAATTTTTCGAAGATATTTAGACAGACTACATTACTTGCATAAAAAAAGCAAGACTGATAAATTGCTTATAAATGACAGGACTGGCATTATAAATACTAATACTGGTATAGAGAAACTGTTACCGTTGTCGGGGTGTTCATGTTTCAGTCTGCATAGTTCACGAATTCGATACTATAAACTAAACCTGTTTGAAATAAGTACCTAACCTTTTCTCGGCAGATGTACCGAACTCACACGAGCTCCTCATTGTCCTGTGAGGACTTTCTCTACGTTTAAACAAAGGTGTACAGATTTGAAAAACAAAACTGAATAACAAAAACAACAACAACAACAACAACAACATCAACAACAACAACAACAACAACAACGACGACAACAACAACAAAAACCAGAACAAAACAAACTTAAAACAAAAACCAAACGCACACACAAAGCCACTTAATTAGGAATATGAAAGTAACGACCACGAACTATGAATCTGCAACGAGCTTTTGTAATATAAAAAAAAGGTGATGATTATTCATCAATAGTAGCACCATAACTAAAATACCCAGAACGAACACTGTTCGTCAGTCTCCATTACGATCTAAGATGTCCTTGACTGAGGCAGTCTGTCAATAAGTCCTTACCTACGTTTAATAAGTTAATAAAACACTTGTACTGGTCAGTAAATATAATAAAACTTGGTATGACCATTACTACTATTAGCCTATCAATCCCCCCTCCCATCTCTCACTCTCTCTCTCTCTCTCTCTCTCTCTCTCTCTCTCTCTCTCTCTCTCTCTCTCTCCGAGACTCTCTTCTCTCTCTCGCTCCCATTTCTTTCTTTCTCAGTGAACAATGGCTTCTAATAAACCTTAATTCGACAAAATCCATAACTTCTAACAGTAAAAAAGTGAAGAAAAAACCCCCGCCGCCACCAAAAACAAACAAACACCAGTCACATGAAACAAAACCTTAACAACAGACAACAAAAATAATACAGTTTGATAGAGAGGTGCTCGATCAAAAAAAAAAAAAGAAGAAGAAACCAACTACGCATTTTGTCATAAATGCTGACACAAAAGACACCTCAAATAAAACCTCCGGCGTATGAGATTTTTAAAAAACCAGTTTGAATACACGACGAAACACTGTTGCAAGGCACCAATAATACAGGTGAATCTACATTGTCGGGTAGGGCTGGATCCTGCTCGTCAAATTTGAGAGTGGCGATTCGCGATTCAGTCGGCTTCAATGAATCGCGAGTACGCGAGCGCTCGTGGAGCTGTGGCGGAACACTGACTGAAACGGAACAGTGTCATATCAACGCCTCTTGGCGAGCGCGAGTCCCACTCTTGTTGTTCCGCCATCCTCTCCCTTTGTTGCGCTGCTCTATCTACTGACCTCAATTAGTGACCCCCATAAATCCCCCCCCAACCCCACCATTCGCTAAAACAATGGTTCCATAAAATTCCTTCTGTCTATTGGTTGGACCCCGTTCATTTTGTTTTTAGAGGGGGGTTGGACTATACCATCTTTTGTAAAATAAGGGGAGCCATACTAAGTGTTCAGTTCCGTTCTTGCGCTCATGACTCGACTCAGCAGTAGGTTAAACTCTTGGAGTAACTAGCCACAAGGTGGTGACAGCAACAGGGGAGTGAATCGGGAATTGTTTGGCGATACTGTTCCGCGTTCTGCTGAAGTGAATCGTGAATCGCGTTCCGCAGGAAAGAGTGGCGATTCAGTTCCGTTCTCGCGCTCGTGACCCAGCCCCATTGTCGGGACTTTCTTCCACTAGAGGAGTGTTACCCTTTATGATTTTGATGTTAAATGATGTACAACTATAAAAATGGAATAACGAATAAGCATTTTCATGTCATTAATTAGTATGACAAACCCACAGATGTCAACGAGAACAGTCACCACCCGGCTTATCTCCAGTTACATCCTTACATAGACATACACACATGCACGCATATATATATATATATATATATATATATATCTTTTTCTTCTTTCCCAAAGTCTAAAATCCACAATAAGTTGATTTATAAAGTCTCATAAGAGATATGTTCAGCACACAAAGGGAGTAAAAAACATACTCCAATGTACAGAGGCTGTTAAAATTATTCCCCGGTTTTCCAAGGTTTATGTCTTCTGCGGGTAAACGATTTACAACATAAAACAATTAAATATGATTTTAAAGTGAAGAAAATAGAACATTATGAAATTATGAGGGAGCTCTCGAAGGGAATGGGGCTTTGGACGATAATTATAATTTGACTAGTGATAAGTTTGTGTGAACACATACAGTTACAGCAATGACATACCCGTGTCTAGCTTATAATGATAGTTTTCGTTTTTAGAAGTTTATTTCTATTTATATTGTTACATTTAAAAAAAAGAACGTTTGTGCAAGTGCGCACGTCTTTTTAATTAAAAGTTCTATAGCAGTTCATGAGATTTTCTGAAATAAACCAAGGTATGAATCATGAAGTCAAAGCCTACTTTTCAAAACTTAACGTGCGATGTAATTGGTGTCATTTCTGATTTCTTGGACCCCAAATCTATGGGTTTTGAAAACAACATTTTATTTGGCATGGTGTTATCATGTATGAAAATTCGTATAAATATCACGGTTGTAGTTCTGTTTTTCTTCAAGTGAACAAACAAACATTGATAACTAAAAGTTGTAATTCATCAAATTATAGCATCAAAAAGTATACAATTATTTCTTTACATGCATTAGGATACGCGAGTGTACGTGTACTTATTTGTGCGCACACGTGCGTGAGTGTTTGTGCGTGTGTGCGTATGATGTGTGTGTGTGTGATGTGTGCGTGTGTGTGTGATGTGTGTGTGTGTGTGTGTGTGTGTGTGTGTGTGTGTGTGTTTGCCTGTGTGTACTGTCTGTCTGTGTGTACTGTCTGCGTATGTTAGTGTGTGTGTATGTATGTATGTAATAGTGTGTATGTGAGCGAGTACTTTAGATGTTCGATGTTCTCTGATCAGGGCTGTAAGCAGAATGCGAAAAGCTGTTGTACCCATTGCACTCAGCAATACTGACAGGGGGCGGGGTGGAAATGTTCGAGGCCCCGCCTCCGTTGAAAGCCTGTGGTTGGAGCTTGTAGTTAGCGTTCATCATTGGCTGTCCGCTCGTGTTCTGACCGGCGTGGGCCATGCCCTGTCGGGGAGGCACGCCCCCAACACCCCCGCTGTTGTGGGTGGAGGAAGCGCTGTTTGAAGACTTGGAGCTGGCCACAGAACCAGCGGGCGACACCTTGCTGGGACCATTGTTGGCCAGCCCTGCTGTGGTCGGGTTGACAGGGGGCATGGCTTGTCCCACGTTGCGCGGGATTTGAACCTGGCCAGACTGGAGATTCAAGACAGCTGGCTGGCCACCAGGGTACTGAACGTACTGACCTCCTACTCCTCCCATCTGACCCAAAAATGGATTCACTTTGTATTGCTGCTGCAGTTGCTGTTGCTGCAGTTGTTGTTGCTGCAGTTGCTGCTGCTGCTGCTGTTGCTGAATGTTCCCAGCAGGAGTCGCTGTGGTAACAGCTGTTGGTGCGGCAGTGATGCCGTGCTGTTGTGGTTGCTGTGGTTGTATTCCGTTGTAGGGCGGGGGCGAGAGCGAGCCCCCGGCCACGCCGTGGTTGTTGTAAGGCATGTAGTGTGGCGTGTACATGGGCTGGCCCGGGCTGGGCTCTGACGTGTTGCTGCTGCCGGTCAGTCCGGTGACGGCCGTGGTGTTGCTGGGCCCCGTGCTGCTGTGGTGGGACGGCTGCGACTGCGTGCTCTGGTGGGTGGACGAAGACTGACCGCTCTGACTCTGCGAGAGGGACCACGGGTTGGACGTGGTCAGCTCGCTACGCCAGGTGCGAAGTCGAGTGTGAATTTCCCGGAAAGGAGGACGCCTGGCGGGCATCTCGTGCCAACATTCCACCATCAGACCGTAAATACGAGCCGGGCATTCTTCAGGACAGCCCAGAATCTGCCTGGAGCGTATCATCTCAATGACCTCTTGATTGGAGAAACCGTAATACGGCTGCAGTCCATAGCTGAAGACCTCCCAGAGGACAACGCCAAAAGCCCACACATCACTGTCTGTGGTGAACTTTCCGTACAAGATCGCTTCCGGGGGCATCCATCTGACGGGGAGCAAAGACTTGCTCTGCACTCTGTAGTAATCAGAAGAGTAGACATCTCTGGACAAACCAAAGTCGGAGATCTTCACAGTTAGCCCGTCAGCCACGAGGATGTTCCTCGCGGCCAGATCTCTGTGAACGAAATGGTGACTGGCGAGGTATTCCATGCCAGCTGCCACCTGTGTGGACACGTGTAACATTTCGGAATATTCCAGAATGTGTCCTCCTCCGGTACCGCTGTCGTCTTCAGCCGCCGTGACGTCAGAGTGTGGTGAGTGGGAGAGCAAGTACTCGTGCAAGTCGCCTTGAGCCATGTACTCGAACAACATGCACATGGGTTCTTGTTTCATGCACACGCCCAGGAGGCATACGATGTTAGGGTGACGCATGTCGGACATCAGGTCAACCTGGGAATGAGAATGTCAATTATTTAGAATAAGACTGGCAGTTTCATTTTTCTTAGCACAAGTAAATATTTTTAAAATACAATAAAACTTCAGTGTAACGTATACGGCTTAAAACTTATTATCAGCTGTAATTTCTGAAGTCTTAAGCCCTAAATAGTATTTTTTACTCTTGTAGCAAACACGTACCTCGCCTAAGACGTTCAAATTCTTAGCTACGAAGGGAGTATGTTATACCAATGTTTTACTGTAGCTGCATCTTCATATAATTTACGATTGACTTAATTCTGTTGTCCCCACCCCCTTCCCTCATCTTCCCGTTCGCACAGATCTTTTTGCCTCTTTAAACATACATTACAATATAGTTTATGTATTGTATTCGACGGTATATTATCATACGCGCACCCATAGGTGTATCTACTTAGTATCTAGAGTATGGCAGACAGAGTACATGCCCCGGGCACTACTTGAAAGGAGGTGTAAGAGAAGACGTTTTGACCCCGCATCTTCAATAACCAAACATGCTCCCGTTCAAGCGGCCAGCAGTGTTCTAGGAGGGGGGGGTGTTTGGTGTCAATTAATGCCATGGGCGTTATTTACAGTATATACGCCCTAGCACTAACAGTGAGTTGATTTCAAACCGCCCGAAAGGCTACAACAACAGCCCATTTTTATTACATGATCTCACCTCTCGTCGAAAGTCATTCTGCACTTTGGGCAACGCGTTCTCCTTCAGCGTCTTGATTGCCACTGTCGTAACAGAGCTCTCTCCGTACAAGCCGACCAGTTCCCCCTTGTAGACCTTCCCGAAAGCCCCTTCGCCAAGTTCCTGAAGAAAGCGGATGTTCGGCATGGGAAATTCCCTTGCCCTGCTAGCTGACTTGGGGTTGAGCGGACTCATCTCTACCGGCTGGGCCTGCTTGTTGTTAGGCCTGGAGGCTCTGAGAAGAGAGGAAAGAATTGGATTCAATATTTCAAGATGCCTTTATTTTAGTCTCCACACCCATGCCCGCACACACCAACTCGCACAAACACAAACAGACACATACGCACGCATCCACACACGAGCACACAAACAAACAAACACAAACACACGCCTCAAACACTCTCAGACACGGTCTCTCCAACCCCCACCCCACCCCCCTCTCTCTCTCTCACACACAAACCTTCTATCCCTCTTATATTCTCTCTCTCTCTTTCACTTAGTCTCACGCATATCTACCCCCACACAAAGAAGTATACAAGTACACAAACAGACATAAGCACATTCACATACTCGTAAATACACACGCACACACAAACGCGCGCATGCCCAAACTCTCTTCCATCTTCACCCGTCCCCACCCCTCCACATCCCTACTCTTTCTCCCTCTCTCTCTCCCCCCCCTCTCTCCACCCACCCATCCCCACACTCTCTCTCTGTCTGTCTCTCTCTCTGTCTGTCTCTCCCTGTCTGTCTCTCTCTGTCTGTCTCTCTCTGTCT